CTACTGCAGAACGTCAGTAGTAACCCACTAAGTAAGCAGGCTGAATGCTGTTTGTGTGCTGACGGCGACGATTCAATTTAAATTATTATTCAATTATTTGTCCTTGGTTGGAATATAAAACAATTTATGTTCAACACGATTCGAAAACAGTAAAAAAAGAATTATCCAATTTGGTTCAGTCGTTCGGAAGTGATGCGCGTATATACTTATTTATTCTTCTACCTACTTTTGAAGTTTTTTTTTTTAATTTTAATTCGTAAAAATATAACTCGGACATAATAAGGCTTGGTGTGCTCTTGACTGGACCCGCATCACCCGCCCCCGTTTCATAGCCCCAATCATTGCGTGAATTCCGATAAAAAATATTTTATGGAACATAAAAAAATAATGTTGATCGAATCGGAAAAAACATCATATCGTGAAATAAGCACAAAGAAAGAGATATTTCTAATGATCGATGGGTGTGAAAACATAAGAAGTAAATAACGAAAGATTTATTCATATGTCGGTTGATTTTAAACAAATTTAATTTATACAGAATGATAATAAATGTTATTTGGCCAAAATAAGTGGATAGAATATTCATATTAATTAAGTGACCCCGTCAGGTCGGCGGTTGTTGACGCATTTGACTAAAGCATAATCCTCAACAACGCCAAACTTGCCGTAAGTTGGGTACTAATAATTACTGATTTTATAAAAAAATACTAGGTAACAAAAATCAGGATCTATGACGTACAAATAATATGCGCGATCAAGAACAATAAAAAAAAAATAAAGTGCAATCAAGAAAATCACCGGACTTTAAAATATAAAAATAGTTTTTTATCGATTTCAATAAAGAATGGGGTCTCTATACGACTGCATATAAAATCTTCGTTTTACCTACTACAATAAGTTACCTTCTTACCAACCTAACGATTTGGCTGTTTTTTTTGATGTGCATACGATGAAAGTCTTTCTTGTCGTTTCTAGCAAAAGACGTTACAGAAATATGTATCTACCACAAAAAATATGTTGTCTTAAATTTTAATATATTGAAATACGATAGCAATAAGAAGTTATTTTGATTTTGCAATGAAGTTTGTGTATTCATTGTTTTCAGGTACACTATTATTTATGTTTCATTACAATCTGTTTACCAACCACTAAGACATAAAATAGATAATTGTTTTTTTTTTTAGAATAAAAGATGTGAGCAAAACACAAGGTAATCTTAGAATTAACTTGTGTTTAGCTCACATCATTTTTCTTTAACCATCATCGATGTTATTGTAAACACTTCTTATAAATAATCGCCTTGTTTTTTGTCGGAATTCCAACGACCTTTGGTTAATCACCTGCGAGACTCTTACAAAACTTTAGTGTAAAGAACAGCCCGGAGTTTCTTATGATTTCGTAATTATTCATTTTTATTTCATCCTTTTTAGTGTCAAATCTTAATTAAGCTAAGATGTTATTAATTTTTCCCCTTTAAAGCCTATTTAATAGTTTAAGAATGTGAGGATATTCGTAGATAGTACATAGATTTTATTTTTTCGCTTTTGAAAATGGCGCTTTTTTTGCTATCGTGACTACGATTTTGTGATTATGTTTCTTTTTAATTAAAATTCAATTTCACTTGCCACGTCATAAGAATTCCAACGAGACCCTTTATGCCCTAATAGTTTTAGAAATTCAAAAGTTATCGTGAAATAAAGAAACATACACGCAAACTTAAAAATCTAATATTTGTAAACTTTTATGTTTTATTTACCCTGAATATATAACATTATTTCTTTTGCAGAAACAATTAGGTACCAACCTACTTTAAAAATTAATTAGTTAGGATTTTAGCAGTTTATATCAAAATACGAATTTTTATTAAAAAAATTCATTTACCTCGTACTCAAAAATTACATAATGTTAGTAAAGACTTTATTCACAGAGAGAGTTATTTTGTCACTATGAAGTGACTCTAATTAATTGTAAGAAAATCAAAATACAGCATTACAACCTCGTTTTTTTTTATATAATTTCCCGTCTGAAATTTGGAGCAAGTGGATTATTTTTTAGTAACATTTTCTTTTGATTGAAACATCTAGCAGTTAAATGCTAATAAAAATATAATAATCTAATAAGTTCATGTCAGTACTAAATAAATTATTTTGTTATCTAGATTTCTGCGTCGATATCTTGATATGTTGTTTTATGGTTTCTATAAAAATTGGCCTCCACAATAAATAATTACGTATTGTGTTTGTTCCTGTTGAAAAAATAATTTGGTCGTCCTCCAATTTGGATAACGATCGGTCATGTTTACGGCTTTTATAATTATTACCGATCATTCGCTCACTGCTTTGAAAAGAAAATTTTATCGAACTTTTTATAGGAAGCTGTAAAGAAAAAAAATACACACTACAACATAATTAACTTCGTTAACATCGCTAATACTTACATAAAGTGCGACCTTAATCCCCATGTAGGATCACAAGAAGTGTCAAAATTTATGTCACATGCAAATATCCGACGCACTCAGAAAGTTTCGAACTTCACATAAACATCGATTAAAAAGCGCGCCAAGTAATGTTGTTTTCGCGATATGTACGACGACTTCGCCGCGTTACCAGCACGATACTGCCGAAGGGTAAGAGACACGCCGCCCGTCGTAGCTTCAATTGGAACTTCGCAAGGCCAATGTCAATCGTTCGTACGTATACGTAAACTACAGTAGGCCGTTTGGATGAGTTTCATATAAATTAGTTCTAAATTAAAAAGAGCTTAATACTGTTCTTCATTGTCATTAGAGACGGGCAGTTGGTCATAAAATTTATCGAATCGGTAATTTTAGGGCGTATGTAGAATTTCAATTTTACAAATCTGTATATTATGGACTAAATATAAAGGTTCCGGAAATGTTTTCACGTTTAAAAGAATTAAATATTATATCATTTTTTTCATAAAAACATCGACGTTTGATAGAATCTTTAAATGATTAAATAAATTAAATTTTCTAAAACATGCTTAGCATTATATTTGAGCATTATAATGACAACTTTCTTCGAAATAAATGGGAATTTATGTATTGGGCAAAAAAATGCAAGCAATCCATATCTATAGTGGTTTAGCGGCAAAACAAATTGCATACTAAACTCTTAACTGTCATGGAATTTAATAATTAGATGATTTTTTACTCCTAATAGGAACTAAGGAGGTATCTACTTATCAAACGTTTTATTTAAATTTCGAACTAGCTTGCAAATAGAAAGCTGTTTATTGAAAAAAAAAACAAATGAACAGAGCACGGAAATTTTTTTTGAAATGAAAATTTCTTTAGCGGCTTTGTACACTTTTTTGTAATGGGTAAAAAATGTTAAACTCGCGTCAGCCTGACACGTGGCCTGATCGCGTCGCGTCAGAACACGTGGCCTGATCGAAAATTTGTAGGTACACTTTTTTTACAATAGATATCGCTAGGTGCGCTTAAATGTGATTCATGTAAGTTGATTTTTCTGAGAGATAAACTTTTTAACGTAACGTACGTAAACGTAATATAAATTGTCATATTTGTGTAAAAATAAATAAACATGGTATTCTACCACATAATTGATAGTACCTTTATACTGATAATTAAAGCAAGCAATTCGTGCAAAATTATTCCCTATATTCCAAAATATCAAAAATGCACAACGTTAATATTAAAGTTTTCACTTCTGCCGGCACTCCTGGAGTGCAACCCGTCGTTTTTTTTCTGTTGTTCGTTATTCGTTATTGGTTCCGAAAAGTAATAATTTGCGCGCATTATTTGAGTCTTGCCCACAACTAGGCATTGATGGACTTTCGTTTGGTATTTGTATGTTTGTTACTCTTTCACACCAAAACGGCGGATTTGGTTAAAATTTGATTAGATTGACACAAAAAAAAGTCAGATTGTTAAGATTGCCTTCTATTTTGTTGTTAATTTTAAAATACTAATATTTATGTTTTTATTTTTTAAGCTTTTAACTGCTAGATGTTTAAATCTAAAGAAAAGTTTTACTAGAAAAAAATCCACGTGGACCATGCAGCGGACGGGACTCGAACCCGCACCCTTCGCAATCCGAGCGAATGCACTGACCGGCGCGGCCATCAGGGCCGTGGTAGAAGTGAATTCGCCCGGATTGCGAAGGGTGCCTGTTCGAGTCCCGTCCGCTGCCTGGTCCGCGTGGATTTTTTTCTAGTAAAACTTTTCTTTAGATTTAAATAGCGTGGTTTTTTTTTTTAGTAAAACTTTTCTTTAGATTTTAACATCTAGCAGTTAAATGCTTAAAAAAATAAAAACATAATTATAATTGCTATTTCTTCTTTCAAATGTTTAATACTTGAAAAAGTATATTCATTTGGCATTGTGGGTTACCTACAATGCGAAGAGATGGCGCTGCCTTGTAGCTTAAGGCTAGGAAAATTTCGACGCGGCCATCAGGGCCGTGGTAGCATAATTGGTCAGTGCATTCGTCCAGATTGCGAAGGGTGCGGGTTCGAGTCCCGTCCGCTGCCTGGTCCGCGTGGATACTAATATTTTTTTATTTCTTGATGAAAGTATAAGTTCCAAATCAGTCTCCGAATCTAAACGATAAATCAATGCAAGCACCAAACATAAATACATATAACATATGACCGTTTAATTGTGCAGTTATAAGCTACATGGACTGAAGGAAACACTGTAAAAAGCGAACTATACGTTGAGTAATTCTCCAAGATACAAAAATTTTCGGTCGGTTACAAGCTTAAAAACTTATTTAACACTGTCCCCGTATTGATTGAGTATTGCAAAGTTTATAAACTGTTTGCAAATTTTGTTAGTCAATAATATTATCTTGTGGCGCAGTTGTTAGACTTAAACCGTAATTCCCTTTGGTAAAGCACCAACAATCTCAGAGGCTTCAAATCCAGTAGGCAGCAGAATAATGTCTTTTTTTTTCTTTTTTTTTGTTGAAGTTCTCCCGTTTTAGGGAAGGCAAAGGGAACAATGCCCATACAGCCTAGTCTTTAATTAAATTTATCTTCTTTTTGTTTTTACATTAGAATGTCGGTGTGACGCATTCTAATGTTTCTTGGAGTGTTTGGCACGAAATGTATCGAGTTGGCTTTTTCGATAAGCTTCTGTGAGGTAGTCAACACTACAATAAAATTCTCACGTCCACTTGACCGGAATAGCGTATATTTTAATGATTCCACTAATTCTTCAGTTACGCAGACAGTTGTTACACAAAACCACACCAATTTTATTTCACAATATCCACTATGAACGAATTTAAGAATAATTAAAATAAGACGCCAACCGCACTCGATGAAATCCCGCCAAAAAAAAACCTTTTTATTTTTTTTAATCATTGATTCATTTTGCATTTTTGGAACTGGTTTACTATTTTTTTTCTTTTTTCAAAGGCAAAGCCATGCAACCGTCGTCTTATTTTTGTTTTAATCTTCCTTTTTTTATAAGAATGTGGGTGTGACGCATTCTAATGTTTCTTGGAGTGTTTGGCTTTGTTTTCAAAATGTATCGAGTCAGCTTTCTCGACAAGATTCTGTGAGGTAGTCAACACTACAATAAAGTTCTCACATCCACTTGACCGATATATCGAATATTTTGAAGATTCCGTTAATTGTTCAGTTGCGACAGACGATAGTAACACAAAATCACAACAATTTATTTCATAAAATCCGCTATGAACGAATTTAAAGAATAATTAAAATATAACGGCAACCGCACTCGAAAAAATCCCGCCAAATCTCCCTATTTTTTTCTCCTCTTTCCGCTTGAATGCGCCTCTATGAGACATATAGCCTTTCAATCACATTATCATAATCAGCCTTATAATATCCCCACTGCTGGGGCACAGGCCTTCCCTATGGATGGAATAAGGAGTTTGGGCCATGACCCACCACGTGGGCTCAGTGCGGATTAGTGGGTGCTAACGACTGCAGATGCATCCGGGACCAACGGCTTAACTTGCCTTCCGAAGCACGGAGGAGCTCGAGATAGTGAATTTTTTGTCATCCATCCAATGACCGACCACTACGAAAGTTGCTTAACTTCACATGGTATTAGTTTTGTTGTAGCTACAAAGAACGCCTTAGTTTCTTCAAGCTTAAAATTCCCTTTCTGATTGAAGAAATTCCACGACTTAATTTTTCTGTATAAAATTGTTAACAATCGCTTTAACTGCAGCGAGCTTCAACCGCGTCTCGTTATTAATAAATTTAAGAAGAAATTTTATACTCCACTCGTAAGAACAAATATCGGTCTCAGTTCTCCCTCAGTAAGAATGTGTCTCCATTATAATGTGCTTAGTAGTAAAGTGGACGATATTGATATATTTGGTAGCTCACTGACAATGTTTAGAGAAAACGTGCTGGAATCACTTGCATTTTCCAAATGCAATTCTTAAAAACATTGTTATGATTGTAGTTAAAAAAAAATAACAACTGTAATTTTTATTTTCTTTATTTTTTTTACTTGAATTACTTTTCAATAATTATTTAATATTATGTAATGTTGCCGTTATGTTGCCTAAAGCCATAGCCAAGAATTTATACGGTATTAGTAAATTATTTCTGAAAAAGTAAATGATTTTTTATATTGCAGAAATAGTGGGATTATTTTAAATTTTAATTTATATTCTTATTTTGTAATGATGAGTATGATTTTTTATTTCAATTATGATTTCTTGAATGCTGTTTATGTACACCTTTAATAGGTACACACCTATTAAAAGGTGTACATAACTGGACTGTATTATTATGAATTATTGTGTCAATTTTTGTTATGTATACTGTTGGTGTATCTTAAATAAATAAATAGACATATAGGGTACTTTATATCCCAGACAAAAGGTTATAATCCCGAGGGATTCTCAAAAAACTAAATTTAACGCGGACGACATAGGTGGCCGCCAGTCGTTTATAAACAGACAAATTCAACCCAATTAAATCAGCGGTTTAGCGTGCAAGAGCAACAAACATTCACACGTACATCCACACAAACTTTAATGCTTAAAATATTATTAGGAAAGATATTCATTATTATTATTTATATGATATTATATCGATGAAGTAGGATAGAATCGTAAGATGGGTATCTGATCGCTATTTCTTAATGAAGATGAAACTAGCAGACATTGTAGCAGACACATTCAGCAGAGGGACCGTCACAAAACATATTTCTGGCAGTGGTCAGATAAACCACCAAAGCACATTTCCGTACGTCTGTTTGGCTTTAAATTGTAAATATACCAATTTTAATGAAATAAAGATTATAAATGTTACTTGCATGCGTACAAAACTGAAATTGGAACGGCAAATCCAGCTGCGCGGCGGGCGACCTTTAATCGCTGCAGCAACAACAGCAGTGATTTTTCTTACACAGATGATCTTTCAGATAAGCATTGGTAATTTCAGGAGGTTAATCATATCATTCTCATGCTGCTGCCACTAATAAGGACAGTCATGAGGGCTTCCAGCGCTGTTTAGATATATTTGTTCCCGGAATCAGCTTACTTGGATAGTAATATAGAGGTTTCATTTTTGTGTAGTTTATGCTTCATCTTCCCTTCTTTCTATGCTTTGGCGTCTGTTCTGACGGTTAAAGGACCTACTGCTATCAAAATTAATTAAATTACCATGCAGGCATTATTCTAAGGCATTAATTTATGTTATTTCCAGCAGTAAAATCTTTAATGTGACACTTGCGTCACCGGGTTTTATAGCATTATATAATGTTTGTGTGAGATGGAAGTAGTCATATTTAACAATAGGGTAATTCATTATAAGTAGAAAGACAAGCCAAGGTGGCTATAGCTATTGTTACCCAGAAAATTTAATTTAATTATTAAAAAGGTATTGAGAACGCGTGCAGTTTCAGTGTCCATACAAACTCCGTAAACATGCTTACGACACGATCGCGATTCCATACTTATGTCGTATTATCTCTATAACCATTCGTCAAATTATAATTTAGCAGTAATATTTAAAATACTTGTGTTTTAAACACTTGAGATAATAAATTTACTTATTTTGATAATAATTATTTTAATTATGTAAAAAACTATTTTGTGATTTCAAGATGAAAGTTAGCATTATCAAGTTCTAAACTTTTCTCTAGAACTTAATCATATATTATCTCTCATCGTTAAGGCAGCGTTCGTAAGAAACAGTGGGTTAATACATAGCCTATGACACTCACAAATAATGTGGTTTTCCATTTTTAATAGACTTTTAAAAATCGGTTCTGTACATCCAGAGATTATCCCCTACAACGTCATAAATTCACATCACAAACTTTACCTGTTTATAATATTCTTATTAGTTTAGATGTAATAACTATACTAATATTATAAGGAGGAAAGATTTGATAGTTTGTTTGTATTGAAGAGGCTCCGAAACTACTGGACCGATTTGACAAAATCTTTCACAATTAGAATACTACATTATCTTTGGGTTCTGATTCAAAAATTCAATAATGTGTAATATAAGGCAGCGTGTGAAAAAATACCAAAGAGTAACTTAATATCGCGTACGCTGCGAAAGTTATTGACAATAGAGCAAAGTGATGTACTAAAGTTTTATAGAGGTCATTAACATCTACAAAAAAGTCTACGGTATCCATATGTCTAACTATTACAGTTATGTTACAATAACTGATCACGCCGAAATGAGATGATTCAACCCAACAACTTGTAAGATGACTTGTAGTTTACTGCAATATTGAAATCTTATTAATTTCAATATAAAGTTGAATTAAGGAAAAACTGATGTTTGGTCGTACGAGTCTCAAACCGTCTGGCCGTGGTGTTGTTCATTTGCCGTGTTAACTATGCCAGGCGTATTTGGCCTGACCATCTCTCCCTCCTCGAAAACTTCAGGGTTTTGAGAACTTTGGCTTGTTGATCTTGATATGTGACTAACAAACAGAGATTGTGAATAGATCTGAGCACTATTACACCGCTGAATTGTTTATAGAATAGCTGACAGTCATAACTGATGCTGCCGTATCAGTATTTCATGCCAGCGTCGGTATTGCGACATCGGCTAGCACCGGTCCCATTCAAGCCACTGTTCGTGGCGGTTGTGTGCCAATTCATCTAATTTAATTTCGTTTCATTTATTTTAAACTTTATAACAGCACGATGCCCTTGGAAGTGTAAATATCTATCCATGATAAAGATAGTGAATACGTCCCACTCGTCATTTCAACAGAGGGAGGTTGGGTTCCTTGAGTTCTACTTCATTTAAGTACTCCTTCCTCCAGCATTCCCAAAAATGCTTTCGTATTTACTCGAGAAGTCGATCTTGGTCAAGTTGATTCAAATTAAGGTCCAACAGATTCTCAAAGGTGAATGGTTTGCCGATCAGGAAGTGAGCAGGAATCAACCAAAGAAGGTCTTAAAATGTAAGCAGTGGATCTTTGCAATCTTGTAAAGCTTGAATGTCTATCAAACTCCACAAGCCCGTAGACATCTACATCAATTGTTTTATTTGTGTAATTTAGTGTTGTTGTTTGAAGAATAGTATTGATTTTAATATCTGTATTAAGTTTACTTTCATGTAGATCCGGGTTATGATGTCATCCTGTATATTGAGACCAGTCCCAGGATCCTTAGTGAAAGAAGTTGGGCCCTCCCACCTCGGATCTCACTTTACTCCCTCAGGCGTAATAACCTTATCTGATAGACTCCAACATCCTTCCGTTGAACTTATAGGTGCGTCTTGCCATGTCACCTGTTCAATTATTAGTTGGCAATCCGGAAGCGGGTTTGTTTTAGTCGTCACAGTTGTCACGATTATGGGATAATGTGTCGTCTGGTCGACGCAGGATTGCCGTCTGGCACGCAAGGGCTAAGTTTCGCTTCATTTTCTTACCCGGTTTTCTGGATTGGTGAAGCTTATCTCCCCGGTGAAGTTCCTCCATGAGGCTGTTCTCCAGTATCTAATACGTTTTTTGTACTTAGCTTTAATAGCTGTGTAGTTGTCCCCGTCTGTATCGTTGCATGTATTCTTTGCCCTGTATAGGCACCTACCTCACCTTTCCTCTCAATCTCTCAAGCTCCGGCCTCCACCAGTGGTGTTTTCCGGAGACTCGTGAGTTCGGAAGTCTAAGGGGGCAGGCGACTTCATAGCAACGTATTATGCTGTCTGTCAAGTGTTTTACCTGTTGTTCTGACTACTCCGTTGTTTCAATTACCGGAGTTGTTTCTTAGATGATCTGACGGTAGCTGTGCGTAGCGGTGTTTGTCGGTTTTCTTGGATGTAGGTTAGGAGATAAAGTTTCTGCCTGTAGTGTGAAGCGGATCCAGCTGTGATTTAAGTATGA